AGAGAGAAAGAGAGAGAGATTCCGTTCTTCATCTTTGAGCAGCACTCGATCGAGGACTCGAGTCGGCGGTTCGTGTGATTCGTGGAAGTAAGTTCGTACGCTGGAGGCCGGATTTTTTCGTCCGTTGTTTCCACTTCGTGTCCGTTGATAGTCGCACGTGGTACGCTTTCGATAGGGTAATCGGTTTAGACGCGGGATGATGCGCGGGAAACGAACGTATCTCTTGGAGGATATTGTCGGATCGTTTAAAATTCGTCAACACGCGCGTGAGAAAGATAGAGAAAAGGAGGGAGAAAATGAGAGAGAGAGAGAGAGAGAGAGAGAGAGAAAGGGGGAAGAGAATCCGTCGGCCGAGCGGAAAGATAAATACGCGGTGATACGCGGCCGAAGAATAACAGGCGCTCGATTACAGTCCCGCGCGTAAACCGCGCCCCCTTTCGCTCGGATATGATTAAAAAATTCGAACGAACAGAGCAACGGAGCAACGAGCGTCGGCTTGTTCCGCGTTTCCACGCCCCACGGTTATACTCACGATGACGTTATACTCACGGCGTCACCGATGACTGTGTGTAAAACGCGCGCTTAACCAACAGAACGAAGAACGAAGAAGGAACGAGAACGAAACGAAAACAGAGTGAAAGAGTGAGGATCGAAACTGTCAACTTCTCGAGCGAGCCTCTTCGCGTTGTTCTTCTCGCCACCTTCGTTGTAACATATACCGTTTGGTCGCTGCGAATGAGAAGCCACTCTTCCGTTTTCGCTCTAAAAAACGAGGTAAACTTTATCAAAATGGGCGAGGAAAGAAGAAGGAGACGGAAGAGAAACGAAGGAAACGCTGGTAGCTTGTAAGGTGTGCGTGAGAGTAAACGGGAGAGAAAGAAAGAGTTGGCCGGGTATGTGTGTATGTGTGTTTGTTGCACGTTGCGAGTGGATGAGCGCGAAAGGATTTAGCGAGCAAATTTTTTGTGCTGAACTGCAAAAACTGAACCACGTCGGAACGCAGTGGAACGTTCCTGTGTAAAATAAAATACCGTACGTTACACTCGTAAGCCTTTGCCAGTAAATACACGCAGATTATCCCATACAGCATACGCGTACCACGCGACGAAAGATCGATCACGTCTGTACGCGGATGCAGGTGCAACTGCAAATCGAGCATACTTTGCGTATTATGCGTTCCCATTTTCAACGATCCTCTGAAACAATGGATTCCATCGCGAATCCTTCTTTACGTTTCGGCATTGTACGTTCCGGTTTCCCTGTTATTCCAATATCGAGCCCCGTTGTTATCGGCCAAATTTTTTTATGTTGGATATAATTCCACGGAAACGTCGTTATTATGAAATTTTTGAATTCGCTGTATCCTTTCTACGTGTGCTTCGCACACGTTATATTTTTTTATTATTCCGTAGAACCATCGTGAAATTCCAAAATTCCACACGTATTCCATTTAGATATATAATAGCTTGTGTGTATTAGAGATTTCCATTTCCAATGATTGCGCGGAACCGTTTAATTGTGAAATTTCCAGATTTCCACATTATATCCCTTCTACGTTCCTAGCTTTTACGTGTATATTAGAGACACAATCGTCGTCGTTTGTTCCTTTTGCAACTATTTGACGAAATCATCGTCATCGCAAAATCTTCAAACCCTTCTTTCCAGTCCTTCTACATATATTTCACGCTTTTACACTCCCGAAGATTATCCTCACCGCGAAATTTCCAAATTCTTCGTTCCTTTTCGTTTCTTCTACTCTTGCTTCTGTAAAAAGTAACATCTTCTTCCATCCTCCAACCTTGAAAAGTAAAATTTCAAGTTCCAGTCGGATTGGAATCCTAATTATCCTCCAGATCGCACGAACTCTGCCCGTTATTTCCCGCTTAACTCTCGTTTGCGAGGATAATCATTTAGCCTGTAAAAGTTACACGAACAGCCGACGTTTTCGTAGAAGCGAGGAGGCAACGAACGGAGGAGGAGGTTGAGTAAGCCGAACCATTAGAGCCGGATAGCGAAGGAATATTCCGTGCTTTGAGCAGCCGCTCGTCCAGACTCATCCAGCCTTCCACGCACGGTTCGTGACGCACAGTGGCGGCCTGTTGTCACCAGTCCCAAAGGCAGCCACGTTCAATTGACGGAAAATCGCTCGCGCCTTGCTTTGATGCTGAAATTAGAAAACACCGCGTCTCCTCCGCGGAGCTGCCACTTATTTCGCGTGGAGGAGACGCTTCCTCTGGGACAATGCTAGATCTTTGGCGTGCAGAAATTGGTATTTTTTTCCGTGTCCGAAGTTCATTCACTTTGACCATGAAACTCGAGAAATTGCAGAAATTGCACCGGATTGAAACGAAATTGTTATCAACGTGTAAAGGAAAGCTATTGGCAATCATCGGACGAAATTGCAGAAACCAGTACGATCTATTATCAGAGCGTGGAAATTTCGGAAACGCTGATTCTGAAGATTCTGTCTTGTAACAAGACACCGATGTATTAAATGGCTTGAAAAGACTTTGGAGTAACGGACGGCGGAATGTTTCATTGACGGGAAGCCAGATCGACCCTGACGCGTTCGAAGATCGATTCGCGTCGACCAACTGAAAAATGGCTGTTCGCCGATGAACGGGTAATATATCGTTGGAAGCGTGATATCTCCAACGCCATTAGTCATCGACGTTAATGACAATGATATTTCGAACAGTCGGCGTTAGTCCGGTTATTCGATGAGATTTTTCGACAGGACCATCCTCCGGACAGCGTGAATTATTTTTAACCGCCGCGTTCCCTGGCGGGAACACTACACGTCGCCCGCAGATGTCATTGCAATGCCAAATGCCGGATCAATCGACGCTCGTGTTGCTCGCGAAAATCGGTGAAAAATCGGGGGCCGACAGCGAAAATTAGCCTTATCAGACTCACCGTCCGTTCGACCGGAGACAATGAAGGGGAAAAAGAGGCCGCCGATTTTCCCGTTGCCTGGAATGGTCTAGCTCCTCTCCGTTTCAAGAGAGCCTTCGTTCCTTTATCTCGACCCTTCGAAACGACGGTGTGTTATCAAGCCAGCAGCCAGGGAGGAGGAAGTTAGATCGACGCGAACGGTAATGCGAAAGGAGAGACGCGAAAGAAAGTGGCCCGTGGGTTAGGGAAGATGATCCGGGAGGGTAGGTGAAGGCCGAATGGAAGAGAGAGCAGAAGAGGCGGCTGTCGCTCGGCCGCCGGACGATTCTCTCGAATTAATTCTTAGGGGTGGATTTGGAAAGGGGCTGCCACCGCTGCCGCCGCCTGTAAGGGGTGTGAGTGGAGCGAGTGGACCGTGAAATAACCAACCCCCCCGCGCGACACTCGCGCACCCCAAACGTTCACGGAGAACCCCGACACACAGTGGCGTAACCTTGCCGGATACCTACTTCTCTCGTCGCTCTGTGCCCCGGCGATTCTTCCTCGAGGACGCTTAACCTCGCCTGCACCACCGAGAACAACGATGTAGACAGGGGGCGCTAATTAACGATCTGCCTCGGGACTCTTAGTGCCCCAGACACCCCGCGCATCTCCCGAGCTGCCTGGCTCATTAGCGTCGCGAATTAACGATTGATCGACGCTTCGAATCTGGAAAGACTGAGTTCAAGAAGAGACCAGGGAGAACGTTTCTTTCGTTCCGCTGAATCGAAATTGCTTGTTTGTACGGGACGATACGGGGCTGTGATGAAATGTGAAATATTAAATTGC